CCATCCCCCCATTCCCCCACTGCATCTTTTGGGCTCCTGGAAACCCTGAGGGACAGAGAATTCATGATGGGACAACTTGAGACCTGGTGGGAAACAGGACTGGAAACTGCTGTTGGCAGTGGAACTTCCCCGAGAGAGAACTTTTGTATTCCCTAAAATCAAGCAACTCAGGCAGTGGGCTAGACACACACCATGTGTCTGGAAATAGCCGTGAAAGGGAGGGAGTCTTTATTCCCCTGACTATTCATTTCCGAATGTTTCCAGAACCTCCCTTCCCTGTCAGGCGGGTGCTGCCGCAGGAGATTCGGATTGCTTTATGGTGGAAATTACTAACAGGCCACAGGAGACGGGGTTGATTTCCTTCCTCTGGTTCTCTGGTTTAGTGGCTCGGAACTCTGGCTACCACCTTACCCCCACCATCAGAAAAATGACCGGCGTGCAAGCTGACGGTGCTTGAGGCTGGAGACAGCAGACTGTCCACAGGCAGGAGGCGGGGGACTCAGGCGTGAGGTAGGAGGCTGAGAGTCCTGTAACTCAAAGACGCCTGCTTACCCTAAATGTCTAACGCTTCCCCTCTCACCAAGGGCCTCCCGTTGGTCATTGTTTTTGTACCCTTGTTTCCTTAAAAATCATTTTCCAAGAACAAAAATTGTTGCTCAAAATGCCTAAAAACACAAAGGGCGAAAACTTGGACATCAAGATCACCCACGGATCCCACTACCCAAAGACAACCACGGCGCATTTTTGGTGTACTTTCTTTTAGTTTGTTTTTCCTCTTATGCATGTTTATGATTGTAACAAAGATAGACTCCTCTACGTGCCCTCTGCTCTTGTTTTTAAGTAGTAGCATGTTTGATTGCTTTTCTAGGTCAATAAATTATTTCAAAGCATTGCTTTTGGTGCCTGCCCTGAATTCCTCAGCAGGGATGCACTTGAACTTAACTGTTCCCCCATTTGTGCTTGCACAAGTCAACTCAGTCCCACGTGGTGGCCGAGGACCTGCTCCGGTCCAAGCAAGCCCTGGGAGACAGGTGCAGGAGGCAGGTCTGTTCTTGAAGAGCCCTGTGCTCAGTGAGGTGGACAGACATAGGGACACAACAAGAGCCCAGGTAGGATGGGCGGGGCTGCCATGGAGCCCTTGGTGCCAGGACAGCCAAGGAGAGGAAGGACTGCACCAGTCAGAAAGCACCTTAAGCGGCTGGGTGTCTCACCTTATAACACAGTGACACCACTGGGCTGGCCTCTCTCTTTTTGGAAATGTTCTTACCCAGCCACCTTCCCATCCAGGCGGGGACCTGCTATGTTTGCATTTCGTCTTTGTTCCAAGAAGCTGGAACCACAATGGTTTAGGAAACTTTTGTCTTGGGAGAAGAGGGGTCACACTGCACTGGGCTTATGCCTCCGTGTGGAAAATGTGAACAAATATCAGCTTTGGAAATCAAGGTGGGGGCCCGCTCTCTACCGGTTAACTGGCCAGCCCTCTCTGCGAGTGGAGAGGAGGCGCCATGGAATTAAGAAACATTTTTCCATCCACTACTTTGGCAAAATAAAACTGCATCAAAAACCAAACTTCGATCCCCAACAATATCATAGTGATGAGTGTTTCGCACCATCCTGCAGTTCCGTTTGGGAGGTAATGCTTTTTTCTTGCAACAAAAGCAATACATGCTCATTGCAGAAAACTGAGGACAGGTGAAAGGCCAGTGAAGGAACGGACGTGCCCGCACCCCCACGCCCAAGCCCGGCGGCTCAGGCTCTGAGGCTTGAGCGCTTCTGCTGGCCCCGTGTCTAAGAACATGCGCCCACACACACGTGCATTCAAACCACGCGTGTTTCCCTCAGGGGCCTGGCCCGCAGGAAGTACTCAGTAAATGCTGGTGGAGTGGGTGGTCCCGAGGCTCCAATTTCTTTTTCTTTTTTTTAAATCCTCACCAGAGAATATTTTTCCCGTTGCTTTTCAGAGCGAGTGGAAGGGAGGGAGAGGGAGAGAAACATCGACGTGAGCGAGACGCACCGATTGGTTGCCTCCCGCTCGCACGCCGCCCGGGCTGGGGAGCGAGCCTGCAGCGCAGGCACATGCCCTTGGCTGGAACCGAACCTGGGGCCCTTCGGTCTGCAGGCTCTGCCCACTGAGCCAGACCCGCCAGGGCACCTCCAATGTCTGTATTCACAAAGTGGGGGTAAGATGAGCGTCTGCCCCACAAGGCTGTTCTGAGGATTAAATGAAATAAAGCAAGAAAGGAGGGGGGGTATTTCCCTCCAATTCTATCAGGAGATCCGACTCCTCCTGCCAGTGCCGGGTCCTCGGTCCCCAGGACCCCTCCAGCCCTGCCCCCTCCTTCCTCGGGCTCCTGCCTTCCCTGCTCCTGGGGGACGGGCTCACCCCCACCTTGTCCTTGCTCCTACTGTTCCCTCCATCCCATCCTTACAGAGCGGTTGCCAGAATGACAAGCGCAAAGAACAACCACCCAGGCCACGTTTGCCTCGAATTCACCATTCTCTTTCTCCCGCCTCCCGCCTCCAACCCAGGCAGGCAGATCGACCCGCAGCGCTGCTCTTGCCACAGACCCGAGCTGCAGACACGCTGCCCCGTCCCGCGTCAGCGCCCCGGGCTGGGTCCCTGGCAGCGAGGGTGCCCCGCAGTCGGAACGGGCGCTACCACGGCCGCGCGCCGCCGAGTAATCCACAGCCTCTTCCCGTTCGGCCACTGTGCAAACGGTGCCCTTTATAATGCCCGGACCCACGGTCACTTGTTTCACTTAGTTGTCACATCTTTCTAGTTGCCTTCAACTGAGAAAACTTCAGGCTTTTCCTGACCCGGCAAGCGCACTCCCGGAGACATATCCAAAGGAAACCAAGCCGTGATCTCACACGGAGGTCTGTGTCCCCGTGCTTATTACAGCAGCAGTCACAGGGTGGAAACACCCTGTCCGCATGTGAATGGGAAAATGAATCGCCAGAAGCAGAAGTCCCATTCTGAGATTTTTCCTGGCTATCATTTTCTTTTCTTTTACCCATTTTTTTTTTTTGGTGGTAAGATACACATAAAATATAGCATCTCAACCATTTTTAAGTGCACGGTCTAGTGGTATTAAATACACGTATAATGTTCTGCACCCATCACCACTGTCCATCTCCAGAGCTCTTTCCATCTTGTGAGACTGAAAGTCCATCCCATTAAAAAATAACTGCTTGTTCCCACCCCAGGCCCTCCTGGAACCCGGGATCTTAGCGTTTCTGTCTTTCTGTGACCGGCTGCTTCGCTCACCGTAACGTCCTCGGGGCCCGTCCCTGCTGTCGCAGGTACCAGAAGCGCCTTCCTGTCTATGCGGGGCTGAGCAACCCTCCGCTGCAGGCGTGCACGGCGCTGGGCTCAGCCGCGTTTTCACGGGTGGACCCGCGACCGGCGTCACGCTGTAGCTGTCAGGCACAGTGCTGCCACGGGTACAGATATGCAAGTATCCCTTCGAGACTCAGCTTTCAATTTTTTGGATATCTACCCAGAAACCATCAGCAGGTTTGGGGGGCACAACTAGATTATAGGAACCCTGTAAGTCTCAGGAAAGCAGAGGAAACGGAGTCCCTGGGAGAGGACACTGGAAGGGACAAGGAGGGGTGCCAGTAAGTTTTATCTGTCCGTCCAAACACTGCTGCCCACCGCACATTCAGTCAGACCTCCGTTTGGTATAAGGCCCCTGAGCCAGGCGGCAGGGATATGAAGACCCCTGGGAGAAGGACCTGCCACCCACACATGCACTAGATCCTTCCATGTACCAGGACGGGACAGGAGCCATGCGAGGTGGTCAGTTCAACCAGGGGCCAAGGGCCTGATGAAGAGGCTTGACCAGAGCCTGGGAGATGGTCAGGAGCAGGAGGCCACCAAAGAATACTGAGTTGCAGTTTTCTATTCAGGAGGCGACTCACAGTGTACACTTTGAGCACAGGCTTTCTAAGGCCGGTGTTTATATGCCAGGACACTCTGGGTAACACCTGTCTGAGCTTCACTTTTCATATTAATAGAAAGGCGTAGTTAAAATAGTGGGAGCTATAAAGACTTGAGATAAAGTCCTTGTCGGGCAGTGCTAATTGTGCAGGACCCTCCTGTCTCCACACTGCTCAGCCCCACGCTCCCCTGAGCCTCCTACGCTCACTCTTCCCAGGCGACCCAGGCCTCTGCCTCTTTCCACCGGCTAACAGTGGGGATCGGACTGGGCGGATTGCCACAGAGCTGC